CGGTTAAGTGTCCTGTCGGCTAAGTGTCCGCGACCGGTCAGGCAGGTTTGACTTCTGATGGTGTAAATTTCGGGCATCTGTTGTCACATTCAAGCTGTCGTAGACCATTTGTATTCATGTTTAATAAATGTTTCAAATTAATCACTCTTGCTTCTTTCCTCATGTTTTACCTCTGCTACCACTTACCCCTGGCATTTCCGGGTTATAGGCTCCTTATGATGTGCCCTATGATGTGATTATGAGGCTCCTTATGATGTGCCTTAATCCTTATGATGTGCCCTACTTCTTCTAGAAGTTTGTCGCAACATTTACGGTACATCATGTATATCTCTTCAGAACCTCTGCATATAACACTGTAAAATCTATATCTAAAATTTTATAGAATTCTATAGAGTATCTCTGACTGTACAAAAGAGTATAATTATAAAAGTTTTTGGAAAAAGTTTAACATTGGATGTTTTATAAAATTTCATAATACATTTTCTTAGGCTCCCTTTGCTAAATTCATCTATCCTGATCGACCGCTAATAATAGTGCGAAATAACTTACTTAAATACAGCATTTTGATACTAAACACCCATCCTAACTCTCAATATATAAAATTATTTAAAACGTTTTTTATTTCAGAGATTTGATGAAGAAATTACATGAAACTTTAAAGTTAAAAGTGTATTATAGAAATACTATAAAAAAATCCGATGTTAAACTTGTTCTGAATCTTCTAGAATTATGTTCCTGTTTTCTGTAAATTAGTTCCGAAATCTTCTACAGAGTTCTATAAAATTTATATATATCTGCTACACAAAACACAAATTTAATAGAGATAGCTAGATATTCTATAGGAACTTGTGTAAAAAGTCTATAAAATGTGCAGAGTTTCAAAAGGTTTTGTTTATCTGATTATATTAAAGAACTCGAAAACTATCTTTTTAAGAGAAGCCATGCTTTCGTGAAGAACTTTCTAAGAGAAACCTGCTCGTATCCACGCTATGGTGGGAAAATCACTAAATTGCCGTTTGCTTGGCAAAATCTGGACTATAATTCTAAAGACTTCTAAACAAGTTTCCTTCCTTTAATTTTCTATAAAATATTAAGGAGACTCATACACCTTAAAACCCATAAGATCTTCGAATATGTGACCGTTGCAAGAATTGGAATAATTATTATTTTAAACAGCAATACTTCCACTTTTACAGATGACTAATAATATGTGCTTCTGAAATAGTAATCAGAAAGTTTGTGTGCCACCAAATTTATAATTTAACCGCTTTGTCACAAAATTATCGTCATTTTTTCCACCTTGCGCGCAAGTTAAAACATCTGTTGCATAATTTAATCGATATTTAATAATAGCTTTATAACTTTAGAAACTACTGTGAACAAAAATTCTAAGATTTCATGTTAAATTTTAATTTAGTTGGAGTGAGTTTATAAAATGTAATATTAAAAAACTTGGAATGTTTCGTTCATAAATGTTAATATTAAAATATTCATCAGATTTTTGGTTCGTTAGAAATAGTGTCCATATAAAGAATTTCATCCTATTCCAAGTATGTACCTTTAGCCATTTTTAAAATATCATGCGCACAAGGTGGAAACATGACGAAACATTTTGTCACAAAGCGGATAAATTACAAAAGACTGTCCAAATATTGCAGAAAATGTCACATAAATTTAGAAGCTAAAATATATTAAGCTAGAGGAAAAAGATGAAAATTTCCGTTCAAAAACTATTTAACACCTAGGAATAAAAATTATTTACTTTAGCTCTTCTGTACGCCATATTGTACACCAGAAATTGCAAATTTGTTTGCAGTTTCAAAACAGCGCATATTACTATGGAATATCATTCTGCACTTCATAAAATTTCTATATGATTTTGCAAAGCAATATTTCTATAGAATTCTGTTCTGTAAAAGCTTTATGAAATTTCAATCGAATTTTTCAGAGAAACATTTCTATAGAGGATTCTATAAAATTCTTTCAAAATTTCCATAGAACTCTATCAGCTTCCATAACAAATTTTCGTAAAAGGTAATAACCGCGGTTACTTAACGATTAATGCTTAGTGATTATGTGTGGCTCTTAAAGCTACATCAGCATGCAGTTTTCTTACAAAATATTTGCAAAAAAGATTATACATAAATAAGAAGTCTACATTTATCAACAACAGTTTTAAAAAACATGCGTTACTAAAAATTGTCTTACCTGATTTAAGGAATTATCCTCTTTGGTCGGTTCAATTTTCGGTTTCGTTTTTAGAGCAGTGGTTGCATTAGATATGGAGGACGAAACTGTGATTTTTTTATCCACCTCTTTTTGGGATGTAACAGGTTTAGGTTTAGGAGGTGGTTCATCTGATTCTTCACTTTCTGATTCTTCTTCACTGCTAGAAGATGAAGGAACTTTGGCTTTTGCGACGACGACAGGCTGAACCTTAACAGCTTCCGGAGATTTAAAACTACCAAACCTGGCCAAGACAGGTTTAGTTGTTTCCTTTGGTTTACTGTCAACAGTTATAGATGCATCCGGTTTTGTATATTTATTATCCACTGTTTCATTTTTCTTTGTGTCTAACTTAGCTTTATCTAAAGTCTTTGGAAGCTCAATTTTATTTGCAATATCGGATTTAGTGTCTTTAACTTTGCTGTCTGTTTTAGACACCTCTAGTTTTTCTTCCTTTAACTTAGTGTCTGTAGTTTTTAACGCCTTAGCCTCAGATAGTTGAATCTCAGTTTTGTCTTTAAGTTTAGAATCTGTTGCCCCTTCGAATTTCGAAGCACGGGCTCTAATTTCGCTAAATTTTGTGTCTCTAAGTCTCACTTCACCGAACTTAGTTTCAACCGGCCTTCTTTCTCCGAATTTAGATTCAAATGCTTTCTTTTCGGTTGTTTTAGAATCACGATTTTCTGAAATCTGGGATTCAAATTTTGACCTAAAACTACTGCTTCTGCCTAGAGATTCATTTTCGGTTGTTTTCGGACCTAATTTCAAAGATGAATGTTTAGTTTCCTCAGCTTTATTTTCACTATTCTTTTTGTCGGCAGTTTTTTTCAATAAATCAAAACGATTTTCTAATGTTTTAGGTGGCAGCTGTGGAGGCTTTTCGAGCTCTTCGGTCTTACCAGCAGCTGATCTACTGCGCAGCCGCACTTCAGAAAGCTTTGTGAAATTTGTCGTAGAATTTTCCTGACCTTTCGGTTCAGGGGCTGATAGAGATTTAGAAGTTTCCGTTTTTGTTTTGTCTTGTGATTCATAACTATCTCTTTGCCTTCTCCTCGATGACGAATCAGGAAGGCGTATGACTGCCACAGTTTCAACGTTTCTATCGTCTGTATCATTAGCAATTTCTGTACTTTTGTAGCTGGCTCGCGAATCGTCTGCGTTTCGGAATAAGGAATCTATTTTTTCTTTTTGTTCTAAATTGATTTTTTTCTCTTCGAACCAACTAGATGTGGATGATGATCTTTGTCGAGTGCGTCGACCTAAAGAAGTTGTCTCTGTAATGGTAAAGCTAGCAGACTGGTCTACCTCAGAGGACACTTCTGATTTGGGTGTCTCTGTGACCGCCACTGATTCCCTTCGACGTCGGGGCAAGGGAAGAGTGAACGTAGTTGATACTTCATTGTTCGTATTATGGTCATGGATATCTTTGAAACATCTACGACAACGGTTAGGCCTCACGTGATGGGGAACGAAGCCAGGACACACAGTATTCATATTGAAATCTGGATCATAAAACAACTTTTTTTACACCTCAAACCAATATTTTAAAAATATTGTTCTTTTAATTTATAAATAGCTACCCTATGTATAATATACACGAGTATATAAAGATATGCATGTGTAATTCTCCAGTATGGAATGATTATATGAGAAATCTATATATTTGATTATAATGGTGGAACCATATGAAAAGATGCTTAGTTAAAGGAACTTGACTTACATGGGCAGGAGGTTTGTTTTTAGAAGCTATGGAAAGAAATGTATCCGCTAGTAAAATGCTGGGACGTCCACGACAACAATTCGCTTCTTTTCCGGTTTCACATAAACACTTTATCCAGGATTAAATTACAAATTTACTTAAACTTGCGATTCTGAAACTGCATATAAACAATATCACAATTCACAAAGCAGCAAACACGTGTAAACGAAAACTAAGTGATCTATACACCACTGAGCGATTCACTAAAAGCAGAACTTTTCCAAGCTGTGTGATAAATTATTACACAAAAGCGAAGGATTTCATTTTCTGACACAAAGATAAAAGAGGCGCAAATTTACAGCAGAAACACAACAGGGGCCCCGTTTAGCGGCCCCTTATTAACGCATTCGGGGCCGCTCGCTTTCAAAATGTACAAGAATTGGTCCACGCATTTTGCGAACTTCGTCAAGACACGCAGGGTTGCCGCAAAGGAAGAAAGTTTTCATCGCCAAGCGTAACTTAAACGTCTGAACTCGGATAAAAAAAAAAAAAAAAAAAAAAAAAAAAATGTTCGTAAACTTTTTCTGGCTTCTATCTTCTATCTTCTTTTTTTTATTTAAATCTCTCACCAAACACCAAATTTTTTTTTCTCCTTTGATTGCTACAGTGAACTAAAATAAGTAAACTATAGAAGATGCAATTCTTCTTCTTAAGCATAGAATTCTATTTAGTTAGATAATTGAAGATCTAATTTGAGGTAATAAAAATTGCTAAAGCAGAAACTATTCGGAACTGTTTGAAAGATTCTTACACAAAAGAGAAAAAAAAAAAAAAAAAAAAAAGATAAAAGCGGATTTACAGCGGAAAGACGAGAGGAACTTGTTGCATTTTATTTACAAAATTGTTTTGAATTAGAATTCAGGAACTGCTAAAAGTAAATACGTTTCAAGCGTTGTCTTAAATTTTAAAAGTATGTAAAACAAGTGGTGCACTTTAGAATTCAATTAATTAAGAATTAAATTTTTTTTAGTGTTAAGCAAAACCCTGTTTATCAGAAATAATTGAGAGAAAAACCATTTCGGGCAACTCTCCTCCTTCCCTTCTCGAACAGCCGATAGTCACACTGGTTTTTTACACATAAAAAAAGGGGGGGGTCTCGGTTCACTTTCCAAAATAATGTAATTTTAAGGTACTTTGTATAAAATAATGAGAATTACCTTAAATTGTTTTTTAATATGTGTTTCAATTGTTGTTGTTTATGCTCACTTGTCTGAGGTAGTCAGCTCAAGCCCACGAAATTCTTCATGGCAAGGAGCGCTAGATTACACCTGTCATTGGCAACAGCCTTGAGCACCTAACAGGTGACAGTTCCACCAACCCAAACGAGAGGACTTTCGGCTCACTGCATATCAATAGTTTACTGAAGTCAAATCAATAGTTTACTGAAGTCATATTTGTTGATTAAATGGGTTTTCGAATTTACTGATTCATTTTTTCTCTCATTTCGGTTAGGCTGGTTTCGGTTAAGCTGACTAGTTTGGTTAAGACTAACTTTAATGTAATTTAATTGTTTTTAAGTTAGGAAAATTTTTATTCTTATTTAAAGCCAAGACGGGAATCTTCCTTACAAATTTTAAAACTTAATTTGCTGTATAATTTAATGCAGCAATTGTTTTAAAATATTTAGGCATCCAAGTGAAAATCGGAAAAATATATAACAAAATTTAACGATAAAATCCGTGGTTTTCTATCCAGTTTACAAACACCAGCATGATCAAAGAATTTAAAAAGAAATAAACTAAATCAAATAATTATAGTCGAAAAATGAAATAAAAATATTAAGACAATCAAAATTAAAAACTAAGACAATGCAGAAAAAGAACAACATATGTTGAATCAAATATAATTCTAAATATCTAACTAAAAGAAAGTTGAACTTCGAATAAATAGCAATATCATTATAAGCTTAAATTTCTTAAAATTATTATATGTTCTACTAATAGCAAACCTAAAATTAGTTTTTTATAAGTCTAAAATTAAATATTGTCTTAAAACACGCATATACATGTATACACTATTATTCCAGCCAAAAAAAAATGTTAGATTATAAAAGATGTTATATTTTATCTTTGTACTTTTCTTTAATCAATTAAATTTTTTAATGTTTATTTCCTCGTACGAAATAAAGGAAATATTAAATCGAGAAAAATTTTGGGTATCTTATCGATGTCAATGAAAATGACCATTTTGACCACTTTCGAACGATGTTTTTGCGGCACATCTTTACATATGGACAGAATAAAGAACTCTATCTTCCAAAACCAGATCGTAGAATGGATTTAAAAGAGATTTTTTCGTGGCGTATGCGTAAATAGGTGAGTATACGTATACTCGCTTAACTCGAAAACGAGGAGCAGTAGAATGTTGAAATCTTGTATATTGGACTGCTATAACAATTTAGTTGTGCATTTCCCGCTTTCTTTGCATTCTTTGCAACCGGCCGCATCAAACATATGCATATATCCCCACTCTGTTATCCGGCTCGATGAGCTCAGATTTTGTATTCTTATATGTTGGTAAATTCTGCATTTTTGCTTTAAAATTGATTGAATTATGTTTCGGTTAAAGTTTTTATTACTTTATCTAATTTGCATGTAGTAATTGCAGAATTATCAACAATTCAAAGTTCGCTAAGCCTAGCGAGGTCGCCATTTGTTTCCACGTGAAACTCTTTGTAGAACAGTGAATTCAGTTGGTACACCAACTTCAGTGTCTTTTTGCCCAAATTCAGTTTTTTGTTTTTGTTTTGTTTTTTCCCCCTAGTGTGACCAAATTTTGAAAATTTTACCTTCCTACCGGCTGGCTTAATTGCTTGTTTTTGCGTAGAAATTATGGCTCAGTTTTCTATAAATTCGGCCATATATCTTCTGTAGAATTCAATAAAAGTTTTTATATAGATTATATAAAATTATGTTACAGATTCTATAGAGATATGTATAGATATTCTACAGAAATTTTCGCAGACATTCTATAAAATTTCTTACATAGTTTCCAAAACTCCCAAGTACGGAATCTTCTGCGATCTATGTAGAACTAATTGTATACCAAAAATATCAGATCTAGTTCGCACAAAGTTGGATTTTTTTTAGAGATTTTCATACGGTAAAATTTCCATAAATATTTTTAGAATTTTAGACAAGTTTTTTTTTTTCTTTTTTTTCTTCTTTTTTTCTCTCTTTAACTTTCTGTAGGAAGCTTTATACACGTTTTTTACTATTTAAAACATATATTGTACTCAACATAACGTTCTTTTGCGGTTGGAAAACATGAATTAAATTTTGATTTTCAATTGAAAATGATATGAGGAGGAAATAGAAACTATCGAAGCAGGTGCGATTTTTTTTCTAATGAAGAATTTTAATATCGCTTTGATTTCAAGAGCATTTAAATAAAAATAAATACTTTTAAACAATAGTTAAATTTTAATGAAATTTAGAAACCATTTTTCTTATCAGGGTTACGATTATAATAATTAAAAGCATTCGTTCCAGGAAAATTTTAGCATTAATTTAATCTTATTAATTTTATGATTTAAATCGATTACGTTAATTTACGATTTATTTAAGTTAATTTACATTAATTACGTTAATTTACAATTACGTAATTACGTTACAAAATTTATTTTTAGTCCAAAGCGGCAATTTGCCCAGAAGGACTAATAATTTCGTTTTGGCATTTTCTTCGATTCATGATAAGCGTTGTTTCACTTTTCTAATTGTTGCCACAAAATATTATCACCCTATGTTATATTTAAAGAAATTAAATAACGTATAATCTGCATGAATGTATGTATGTTTCTCACATTGTGATAAAACAACGGTACCAAGAGTCATCAAAATTTGAATAACGTAATCTTCCATATAATATGGGCATGTGGAAACCCTAATTTGAATTTGAAATTTGTTTAATTATCGAAAATTATTTTGCAATACTGCTGTTGAACTTAATTTTATGATTTAAGTGCGAAGCACATGATATTTAATAAATAAAGGTAACACACAAAAAGTTAAAAAGAGAAACGCCCCTTTGGACGTAATTTAAAATCTGAAACATTTCAGTTCCCCCCCCCCTGTTATATAATCAGCACTGCCAAAAAAATGGGCAAAATGTTACATAAATTTAGAAGTCAATAAACGTTAAGTTAGAGGGAAAACGGTAGAATGTCCATTCAAAACTATTCAGTATTCTCTAATGAAAACGTGCTTACTTTTTCTCTTTTGCATCCCAGACAGTAAACAAGAAACTCAAAATTTAGTCTGACTACAGTTCGAGAGCTTTGCAAATTTCTACAAAGAATCATTCTGTACAAGCTTTATGAGATTTCTGTATGATTTTACAAAGCAATATTTCTACAGAGTTCTTTTCTGTGCCTTAAACACTTTCTACAGAAGATTAAGTGTAAAATATGTTACATGTTTCATTGACTCTTAAATTTTGGAGAAACATAAAAATATCTATATTCTTTTCATTGCATCGCTAGAATAAAAATACATACTCGTAGAAAGTTCTTTCAAATACGTTAGAAATTGTTCTGTGTTAGCCAAGAGAGATCGTCTGCCAAATGTGGTTGCCACAAACTGCGAAGTGTATTCTGGAGTAAGATAGTATCCCAAAATACTCCTAGTGACGTAAGACGGATGCCGAGGCAAGGAGAAAAATTATTTTGAGCATCCTCGCGCGGTATCTTCTGCACCGGAAGCAACCACTGTTTCCACCGCTACTATAATAGCTCATT